TGCATTCTGTTTAAAATGTTATTGACCTACGGTTGGACTTGATGATCTTAAGGGTCTTTTCCAACCTAAATGATTCTAAGTATTAATGTAGATGGTTTCAAGCAGTCTGGGTTTCAACGTTCTTGAAAGTGTATTACAGCCTGCAGACCCAGATGTGCCCCGGCAATTTTTTGACCTACTAGTGGCTGACAAGTTGCACGTGCTATTTGGTCTTCTAAAGGTCTGGGAAATAGCAGCAGCAAATGTGCCGCGGCCAGCTTGCCCATCAGCAGGCACATACCTCCTGACAAGAACGTGCCGATATGATAGCTGGTCATCCAGCCATGCAGGAGTACGTGTGGTCCGGCTGGCAATCTGCTCATCAGGAGATGGGCGCGTGCTCTCAGTGATGTGAAAAAGCGTTTATTCTTTTCAAGGGCACAGGGGGTCTATTAGTGCATGTGTTCTGCTACTGTATGTTAGATCCTTTCTCTTTCCCAGTTCTGGGCACAGCCAGCAGCACAGAGAACTGAAGTGGGGAGGCATGGACACAGGAAAGAAAGGATAATTTCCAAATCAGTAGTCTCCAGGTAAATAGTAGAACTCATGGCCAAAAAGGGATGCCTTTTATCACTGTCTTTGGGATGCTGAATGCTGTGGCAGTGTTAAGTACTACAGGTTTGGCATATATTAAAACTACTCTTTTTTTTTTTTTTTTTTTTTTAATTACCACTACTGAAATTTAAGTTTAGAGAGAAGATAATGCTGTTTGTACAGAATCTTGCACGTTTGTAATGAGAGTTATATTTTTCCTTCTAAACAGATTATGAATTACCATGGGGAGAATCATTCAGCACCACATTCAACTGAATTAATTCAGCAAGACTATAAACATGGATACAGAAAATGTAGATACACAATACCGTAATGTTAATAATGATCTTACAAACGCACTCATGCTCACCTTTGCAGGTAGTGCATGTCCTCCAGAAAAAAGGGAACCAACGACTAAATCGGTGAATTGCCCGCTGAAACCCTTACATGGGCCACAGTAACCAGAAACTCTTTACCCCTGATCTCCATTCAAATAGCTCTGCTTCAGCAACACTATTTAATTTCAGAACTTCACTTCATCTCTTCATCCTTACACTTTATCTAGCATTACAGTGACTCCTCTCATATCCCATATCATGGCTGAATAATTCAACAGCAAGTAAATTCCTTACATTTCTCTTCCATAGCCTTCATCACCTATTGCTGATGGATACTTTCTAGACCTCACTGAGGAGATGTTTGCATTTTTCCTTCCACACCACCACCAAGAAAACGCAGTGAGACGGGCTATAGCTGCTGGAAAAGGCACTCCAGGTCTGTTCAAAACATGCCCCCAGCTCTGCCAAAGTGCTCCAGCTGGTATCTCCAAATATTTAATGCACGTCATTCTGAATACAGTGCTATGCAGTGGCTGAAACCAGCTCTAGGGTGCACAGCTAAAACTGCACTAGTTTGTATCTTAACTCTGTATTTCTCCTTTTTCTGAAGGCAAGGATGAAAATACTTCTTATTTTTGAATTTTCAGAAGTTTGCTGAAACTGATATTCAGTAAGATAACAAGATTTATGTTACCTGGAGGTAAAATACCCCCCCCCCTCCCCTCAAATAAGAGAACTATATTCTGTAATATGAAATAAACGTATGATTGTAAAAGTTATGTTTTGGGTATTCAATCATTATAATCTCAGTATCAGCCCTTCCCCAAAACCTGTTATGTAATAGGCTTTAATAATTCTATTTATTATAATGCCAGTTACATTCGTATAAACAGAAGCCCAGTATACATGCAGAACATGTACATTCTTACCTGTTATCAAATATACATTACCCTATATCGATTTCAGACCTCATAAATCACCTCAAGGCATTTATAAATATTTAACTAACTAACTAACTAACTAACTAAACAAAATGTTGATAAGAGCACCTGCCAAAGAGCTAAGAAGAGGGAGAACTAACATTGCTCACTGCAAGTTCCTTCCATTTGAACTAGAACTTGACCTATACAGGATGTGCGTGGTGGCTAGGAGAGTGGCTTATGATTAGTTGACGCAATCCAGTGTACTTATTATATGCTGACTATATAATTTAAAAATATTACCATATTGCTGATCACATATACTGGAGAGACAAGAGGTGACTTTCCCACCAAATTCTGAACTGCTACGATATTGCTACAAATACCTACTGTGATATTTAATTCCATGAGTACGGAAACGTGGGCAGAAACTGCTGGTTACAGGTTAAGTTTACAACATCAAAATTTCAACAACTTCTCTACTCAGGGAAAATTAATAATAGTGTATCCCATTGGAAGGTATTAGGTATCTTTAAAACAGTTAAGTGATTTGTTTTCTTTTAATTACTTCCTGCCAATATCTATAATTCTCTCTAAATGTTCAAAACTAACTTAAAATTCAATATAAAATTGCTATTGTTTTTATGTCATCAAAGAAGAAAGATTAATGACATATTTCAGTAATCTAGTAATAACTGGCTGTTTTCCTTGTTCAAGCTGTATGTAATCCTCAGTGGATCTTAGATGTAGGTTAAAAAGGTATTTAATGCCTGTTTTTCAGTTGCCAAGGTCAAACATCACCTAGCGTGTATAGGGGAAGAGGAAACATCTGTTGGAATAATTTATTTGACTAACACGGAGGGTAGGATTAAAATTCACTAATTTCTTTGGTCTAATACTGAACTTCAATTAAACAATACCGGTATTTGTTCAGTTTGAAAAAATTTCCTCGCTTTACATGTGGGCAAATTTATGCATATCCCTAACTACTGGATCTGGCAAGGGAATACTGTGATTTTTCATTATTTTGTATCTGCATATACTCTGAGAATTAATATTTCTGTATTTTGAGTTATTTTTTTTCCCCTCAAAAAAAATTTTAAGAGAGAATTCACAAACCTTTAACTAATTCCCAAGACTCTTTGGTTTCCATGGAATTCCACTAGTAACAAGATTAGAATACGTCCCAAGATCAGTGACTCCATATGAAATTGTAATGTACAAGCAACCTTCAGCATCCAAGATAAAAAGTCCCGCTTAGAAGTTTTTTGAAAATATTAAATGCAAGTCATCTGACGGTAGTTTATTCTATCCTTTATGTGAATCAGAGTAAAATCTTCTAGACTAATAGTACAAACAAAACAAAAAAATCACTCAAATTGTTTAATTTGCAAATCTAAATGAATACAAATATAAACCTTTGATTTCAATCAAGTATGCAAGATGCAATCTTTGCTGCTCTAGAGTCAGGAGGGATTTCAACAGGCCCGGGACTGTACTCCAGCTTCTTAATACTGGGAAAAATTTTGTCAAGCAAAGCAGCTCAACAATTGGACAGCTTTTTAACATGGTAGAGTAAAATCGGAATGCTTTATCTCCAAGGAGATAGCAGAAGTTCCTACACTGAAGAAAATAACTTTCTGGGAGGTGCTGTACACACATGTTCCATCCTTTATTAGAACTAAGGGGGATGGTAAATGAAAAGCATAGCTTTATTCAGCCTAGCCCAAAAGACAGAATGCTAATAAAGATGACATGCAGGCTGACAGAACACTGAGCATGTGGATAAACTCATTTTACAATGGAATTAAAAGAAAAAAAATGCATGTTTGGCGTGAGTATTAGGCTGTACCCCTCTAAATTTCACAAGCCTGGACTATTCGCTGGAAAATAATCACATAGTAGTACTATTTTGTGATAACTAGTGCATTGTTCTTGCAGTTCTTGTTTTTAAACTTCTCCACTTCTGCAGCAGGAAGAAAACCCAAGAACAGGTACACATACGGCGAGTTCAGTTTGGTTTTAGGCCGGAATAATATCCATTGTCATATGAAGAACAAAAATGATACTTTGGAAGAGAGCAGCTCTGTGATTTGTAATTCTTCATCCTTTCTCAAGGGAAAGGCAGCAATTTTTTGTCAGAACAAATAATCAGTAGCAACAAAACTGATGGAATGGAAAGTGGTAAATTGTCAAGAATAAAATAGTATTAAATGTTGCCCAGTTAAATTTTCAAACAAACTAATAAATTCTGATTTGAATGTAAAATAAAACATTAAATTTAGTAATTTAGTTACAAAAGAATACCTACGTCAGTTGAATTTATTTATTTTATCTACAGCATTGCATAAATGATGATTTTTTTTGTTGGCCAGTACGGCTGATAAATAATAAAACAGTTAGGCTAAAAGTAGAATTAAACATCCAGAAGGAGTGATAGTAGGTCCCAAATACTGAACTAAACTATTACTACAGGTAAAACTGGAAAAACTATAGGTCCCAAACTGCGAATCCCCATGAGCAGATTTTAGTTCCACAAAGAGTTGCGTTAAGAGTTCACAAGGCTGCTTATGTAAGTAAGGAACGCTAAACTGTGGATTGTTTGAATTCATCTAATGTGTAAATGTCTGTAAGGCACACACATCAGATTTTCTTTCTTGATTATCTTGATGGTCTTGAGTTGATGCTACAGGAAAATGCTCATCACGTTTATAATACACTGGAACATGTCTATTAGAGGTAAGCTATAATGATGAAAAGTGATTGTTTCTCCTTCTGCATATTACTGCCTGCACGGGATCAACCTTCACCAATGTTGTTGACAGTAACTGTACTTCCAAGAATTAACTTCTATATTGTTTTACCTTTTTGGAAGATTACAAGCAAATGCATACGACAGAAACTAGTAACACTGGAGTAAAGTTATTACTATTGGCTAGTAATAATAGTAATTACTGATTTATAACCAGAAACGGAAATCTATTATCCTGTCTTTCAAAGAAATAAAGACCACAATTATAACGTGGTTAAAAAAACATGAAACTGATTTCAGATTAAATTCTACCTTCATGTACTCGTTTTCCAACTGATTCAATAAGAGCTGTACATGCAATAACCAACAGAACTAAGAGGAAGATGTCTGAGGAACATACCTGAGTTTTCATCTGATTTATTTTTTTCCCAGGATTCTTGGCAGAGGTTTTCTTTTAACGTTGTGCATCTCAGACAAAACTAAAAAATTTGGTTTTTCTTTCACAGAGTGACTGTAGTGAAAGGGAAGAATAGGATAAGGTGTTTCAAAGTCAGCTGCAGAAAAGAAAGAAAAAAGGATTAATTCAATATCCCAAGTCAAACCACATCTATTTTAATAATCAGTATGATTGATCACAGGTTCCAAAATATTTTGTTATAGAAAACAGTGTAATAAGCCTTAGGGTAAAATGCCTCAATTTAATAATTGAAAATGGAGAACTTCATATGAAATTATGGAAGGTGCTGCAAACACTGATGAAGGTGAATATTAAAGCAGGTATTCATATTCAGGTAGAGTTATTTGAAAGGGAGTAAATTCCGTTACATAGCACCTGGTAGTTATTCAGAAGACAGAATATTACTTTCAGAAGCATTGCCATTCACATATGGCTTCCAAACACTGAGCAGACTGCAGCTTTCTTGGGGCTGAGACTGACAGGCTGAGTGCTTTTCACTCTATGTCTTCAAAAATAACTGATCTTCATGAGATTTCATGAATTAATAAGTTGAGGTAGTATGGCTACAACGAGCATGCTCTCTCCCCTAGGTTACATATCACAGTTTATCTTCTCAAAACAACAGTGTAACTGTCACCAATTTTATTTTATTTTATAAATATGGTCATTCAAACCATTTTGAGTCATTTGAAGTCTAATGTCTGTTTCCAAATCCTGCAAGATGGCAAGACATGCTGTTAAGTCATTCATGTTTTAATCTGCAGTCAACTCTATAACAACAACAACCCCCACCCCACCATTTTTTAAAAAACTCAAAGTTTATTTCAGGTTTTGCTTAAGTGTCAAAAGTCATTTGTTTTCCCGCTTTAAGAACTTGTTGCCTTTTCTTTTAGGTTTAAGGCTTTTTTTCCTCCAGGACTTTTTTTTCCTTTCCAAATTTAAAACTTTTACTTCTGCTAGACGTGTATCTTGTGAAGGCCTTCAAAAGGACTGGGAATTTACACAGATCGAATAAGTATCAACAAATAGATTTTAAAAGTCTGATGTATTTCATGCATATTTATTCTAGAATGCCCAACGCTTTTTTTTTTTTTTTACCATGGAAAGTAATCATGAATATTTACAAACATTCAAAATGGATCAGCTACTCCTTTCCATAATTCTGGGAGACTGGGATGGGAGGAAAAAAACACCACATGAACTAGTGCTAAAATTAAATTTTATATTGGAAAAGTTCAATTTCTACTCCTGTGTTTTGGTCCCACCACCAGTACAAGTCTCATTCCTAGTACATTCACTGTTAGCTGCTATTTTATTGTTTCTATAATATTGCAAATAATCATGAAGTAATTGCTTAGTCTGCTTACAAAAATGTAGATAGGCTGCATGTTCATTTGTCATTCTTTCTTTGTTTTTTTTCCTGGCAGCTTTGGAGGCTTTCCAATTCATTAGGAACTGTCTTTCCATTTCTTTAATTTCTTTCCCATCAAGCGATTCTGTCAAAGAGAAGAGAACATTTTCTGTGATACCCAAAGTTAACTAAAAGGCTGTACAAAGCTGTATGTAACGTGTACTGGTTCTATATTTGCTCTTTCAAATATTTTTTGTCTTTTGGTAAAAAAAATACCCAATACGGCTTGATATTAATATTCAAGCTGCAAGAGTGAGCTGACATGCCTGAATTACAAAAGAAAGCATCTATTATTTTGATAACTTTCAAGAGTAAAAAATATATTTCACATTCAGTTAATGTGCAACACCTTATAGAAAGTTTTGAAGAAAAGCTATGCTCTTACACAAAATATATATAGAGATGCAGAAATTCAGGTTGAGAGAGGGAAACTGCATGTCTTAGCAGTCAAGGAATCCTACTGATCATGAAGGCAGACAGACAGATTTGGCTCTTTAAGGTTAACGTTGCTCACTTAGGTGCCATAAAGCTTGTGCTCTATGTTTCCTTGGTTGCAGCTGCATTTTTGAGTCAGACCAAATGAAATACCTCATTTGGCTACAAATTTAGGCTGCATTAGAACTGTCCTAAGGCACCGTTATTTTCATTGTGCAGATAGGCTTTTTCTTTTTCTTAATGGCCGATATTTTATACTCTCAGAAAAAACAAGTTCTGTACTTACAACTTTTAAGATAATTGCCACTGTTATCCAAAAAAAAAAGCAGATATTTTTTGTTTATACAGTATGAATACTTACATAGATAAGACTAAGTTGCTTCCTTTCGTGCTAAAATTATCTCAAAATAATAACGTAAACTGCATCACAGTAAGGTTAAGATTAACAAATACATTTGTAACATAAGTGTAAACTGCTTTTAAGGACAAACGTTATATAACAAATTCAAACACGGTAAGGTATGACCCTTACAGCTGTAACTGTACAACTAAAACACCTAAGCAACTACTACAGGCTGATAGGGGAGTAGACTAAACTTATCTTTGAAAATCGGTTTCACAACGTCTGGAATATGAACACAAAAAAAGTCCTATTGTCTTATAAAAATCTCAGCAATCATCTATTATAAACCAAATGATTATTACTACTAATAGCAAAAGCTAAGCAACACGGTTTGTGCAGTTGATTACATAAACAGTTTTAGCTACATTACCTGTACATAAATTAAAAATTTATCATTTGACATAAATATCTATGGCAGTAATTATGTTTACATACATAGTGCCATTCAAGAAGGACTGTATCAGTTACGTCCTAAAACAGTGAGGGTTGTGGGTGGGTTTTGGGGTTGGCTATTAGTTTTATTTTTTACCTAAAGTTCGTGACTCTACTACAATGCTGTCCCTGTACTTTGGCTTCTGGCAGATGGGGTTTCCTGTAAGATCCATTCTGCGTAGCTTTGGCCATTTGTGTAATACAACCTCCAAATCCTGCAATTGATACAAGAACAGAACATTGTGATTATTTTTCCTCCTCCAGAGTAATATTCAGTAGTAACGTGATTTGTTCAGCCAGGCCCAAATCCTGCACACAGAAATAACTTCAATGAGACTATTCATGTATTAATATGCACATTAAGAATGTGCATTTTCAAATAGAGTGGTGCGTAGTATTCCCCAAATATATCAAAATTGCACAGCAGAAATGGTGATGCAGTTGGAAAACTCTGCATTTTGAAGGATATAGTAATGCTGGCTATGGAAAATTACCACTACAATCCCACTTATAAGCACCTGAAGCCGAGGAATTACCAGCCAAAAAATTAGTATGATATGTAGTGTCTGTTAATGCATCCCCGTGGTCTCACAGAGCCCTGGGAGTATCAGTGTGTGATTAGATTTTGAAAAAATTGTGGAAGAATAAATACTTTACAGAGAAAGAACAGACTCTAAAAAAAGCTAAAAATCGTGCAAACCACAGTAGACTGCCTCTCTCTTTATATATATGCAAAACTGTATTTTACAGAGAAACAGTAATCCCCCCCTACATAACCATGGGTGGTCAGTTATAGTATTGGCCCAAATAGTGAAATCTTTGAAATATACTTTTCTCCATCTGAGTTTCTGTCTGGTTACCCAAGGGCAGTATGACCTAGATAAAACTTCTTCTGTCTTTTAAACACAATAAATTCAAGTTAAAAGGATGCAAAGCTTAGCAGATTGGTCCTTTCTACTCAGATATCCTACTTTCTGAAATACTTTCTTTTCAAAATTTCACTTAACTGTCATTCTTGATAGGCTTCCTTATATGTGTGAAAACCTTAAGGAGGGATTCAAAACAATCTGTATGAATACCAGGGGAGAGAGAATTTATGTTCTACAGTTATAATAATTTGGAAAAAATCTACTAATCATGATGTGACAGATTCTAAACTGCAAAGTCTGTAGAATTTTGTAGCTTGATGCCAATAATGAAGTATCTAGCAATGCAGATATCTCTTAGCTCCTTCAAATTTAGAAAATCATCTGGGTAACACAAGCAAGGAGAATTCCAGTTTTGCAGGCTCTACTCCCTTGGTAGAAAATCCTCCTGGGAATATTCTGTGGGTTATATAATACATGTTTAGAAAAATCACATGGAAGAGGAAGTGGCAGCACAGCCTCATACCACCTTTTTGTCTATCGATGATGATGGTGATATCATCTATTGTTATCCAGTGATGATAACATCTTTTCAGAAAAATAGAGAGCAAAAGTCTGGTTCTGTGAGGAGCAAGACTGATAAAACACTGCAAGAAACTCTGAGGACCAGTCCACATGAAGAAATGTTGATGAATCTCATATCGTTACACAGCAAAGCTTTATCAGCATGTATCAGAATAGCAACATGATAATCCCCACAGTTTAGGTGCTAACACTTAATCACAAACACAATAATTTAGGTGAAAAATATTTTAGGCTAGGCTTACTAAAAGAGAAATAGCATTTAGCAAATGTATTTATTTATTCTTACCTGAGCATTCAGGCATTGTCATTGAAATCTGTAATGTGTTCAAGATTTCACTAGAAAGAATTTTTTCAAGTAATAGTTTTGCAACACAAAATTGTCTATTACTGAAATAAGATGTATACAGTTTAACTTTGAGGAATGTACACAGAGAGTCCTGTAGATTTTTGTTAGCTGTTACTTACTTGATAAATGACCCAGAACATGCTTACTCCAGTGTATGTTTATCTAAGAGCACACTAATCCTGTGCTGAAATATGATTACCCTTTCGATACGCTCTAGTTGTTCATTGCCTTCCTGTCTCTAATAAAGTGCTTTCACTTCCCAGCCTTTCAATAAGCTGTACTAAAGGGACCAGACACTCTTCTGGGCAGTCTCCGTTTGATAAATGATCATGTCATGCTATCACTTTGAGGTCTGCTACAAAATACTGACGAGCAAATTATATTCTATTGGGGGGGGAAGAGGGGGAAGGGCAAGTGCCTTAGTAGGCAGCTGTAGTGCTGGCAATAACGTTCTTACCAATTAATGATGGCCATTTAAGAATTGGTATTTGACCAGTATGCTCCAGTTTTTATCGGAAATGTCTAGTCCAACTGCCCTAACTACATCCACAGACAGCAATTTGTCACCATCTTGACTACCTGTCATAATCTATTTGAGAAAATCTATAATTTTTCTCTTGTTCCTGACTCGATTCTGAAGTGAATGAATTCATCTTTTGTGATATCCGCTTGTCATAATCAATATCGGGCAGAGGTTGAATAAATGAAAGACTTAGGAAATACTGATTTTTATAGGTATATCTAGCTATATTTTCTCTATCTATCCAAATACTCACACAAGTCATAACCTTCCCAAAACTAATGTAATTAATAAATAAATAATATTCTGGCTTTTTGTAAACAGAAATAGTTGTGGGGTTTTTTTTAATAGGAATAATGTTTTTTAAAAATTCCCTTAGTATTCCAACCCAAATACACTGCAGCCTAGAAGTCCTTGCAAACCTGACTAAAGTAAACCAGAAGCTCGATAGGATAAATAAATGAAGTAGCAAGAAACAGAAAATAAAGAAAAGCCAATTCTATTAAGATCAATTATATTCTTGGTAACTGACCTAAGACATGCTTTTTACATGTGGTAGCTAGTCATAGTAAGTTATTTTGCATGAATTGAGAAAAATTACTTAATTTTGTTCTGTCTGCTCTTCAGTCTGCATTATATAAACTTCAGTCATGTGAAACGAGGTCATATGCCTTGATGTCTGTTAATTATGCTAACAATGCCCTGAATTAGCCAGAACCTTAAGTGGTTGAATTTACTAGCCCTAATTTTCAACTACGCTGAAATCAACGTGGCATTGTTGAAAAGCGAGGGAGTATGGGTTTTCATAATAATGTGAAAAAACCTGAGATACATGTTTAGATATAAAATAATCATACTAATTATATAAAAGTGAGAAAAGTCTACATGAGAAGATTGTATTTCATGCATTTCTCATGCCTTTCACATTTCCTTCTTTTGCAAAGATTCCGTATTATTCCTGCTGCCCTGCCAAGACCTGGATGGCTCCTCTACAGCTTCTCTTCCCACCGGGTGAAGCAAAGCTGGGTACAGAGCTCTTTGGCACTTCTCTGTCATGCAGCACCGCCACGGTCTCCGATCAATGCGAAACATTCCTGGGGACGTTCTTGATGGCAGTGATGGGGAAGCAGGAACGGGAAAAGGGGGGACGTAGAGCCTTTGGCACGAAAAAGAGGTATACTTCAGAGCTTTGAAAACAGAGAGGCAAGATGGAGGAGAATGGAGGCAGCTTGTGTGGGAATGAAAGAGCCTTTGCTGCGTGTAACAAGTTCAGCCAGCAGAAGCAATTAAGTATATGTAGTACAATTGTATACCCCCTAAAATCCTTTCAGCTATCACAGCTGTAGAATAATGCAAGCCATGGAATCACGAAATTCAGGGTTGCAAAAAAATTGAAACATACTCAAAACTTCCCTCAACTATTTTTTTTTTTAAAGTGAGTGGATGTATCAAATTGCTCTCCTGCTAGATGTTCACTGTAAGTTAAAGCCTCTTAAATATATCTAAAACTGACTTTTTTTTTGTATTTTGCATGGCTTACTGCTTTTTTCAACAGTTTGGGTTTTTTTTATTCAAATAGGAATTTGTATTAGTGATAAGTAGAGCCTACTAAAATGCAATCCCTAAACCACAGTAATTGTAGCTGGAAAGCTGGATATTCAGCTGCATCACACTATATGTTAGACACATTCGTTAATTTTACAGGTCTGCAAGGATATGAATAGAAATACCCTATCTGCTCCATATTTTCAGAACTTGGTGATTGTTTAGAAAACACACAGGACAGTCACTTTCAAAGTTTACCAGACCTTGATCCAGGTGTAACTGATAGCAGCAGCAGCTAACTCAAATGCTAACCACATAATTTTTAAAAAGCTGTGACCATGTAACATGGAAATCTAAATGTCTAATTGATTTAGGTAAATATTAACTCTGATCTTCCTGATGATGAAATAATGCCTTTTAATAATGATTAAATAATACATACACAGCTACTGAATAATACAGTCTTTTTGTCCTCTCCTTATTCTGTTTCAGAAGATACTGTTTTTTCCTCTGAGATACTGAAAACACTGTCTCTGAACTGACATCCTCATTCTTAAAAATAATTGGTTCTTTGGCTAAGACAATCCCCTTTTAAGATTATCACAACTGAAGTCTTTTGTATTTATAAGAAAGAAAAAAGACAATTAAAAAAATCACTGTAATATGTTTTATTTAGAAAAGGCATCCTTTTGAAAAGGGAAGCTTTGGAGAGACTACCTATTTAAAAAAGCTTACTGTTATTTGATGTAACCAACACATCCAATATGGTTTTAATTACCCAGCAAAAGCCTACATGAACTGTATGTCGATATGAATTCAATCATAACTGCCAGCCAGAAACACAGCTTGAAATACAATACATTAATAATTCTCTAGTAAAAAAGAAATGCATCATTCAACATTTTTTAATATTAAAATGAAAAAATAAAGAATCCAAATAAAGTATGTTGACCTAGAAAATTGCTGGATTGTGCAGACAAAGTACTGGCATCTCCTCATTAGTAAAAAGAACTGCCAAATTTAATTTAAAGATATTAAGTGTTCTAAGAAGTAATAAGAATAGTTATTTTAATAATTACTAACCAATGAAAGTTAACTTCTCTAAGGAAACAGAATGTATATGCAAACCAGTAATGAAAGAGTTTATTTTAATCAAGGCTTTGTCTTGGTGATTTGGGTTACGATTTAAGCCAATTCATTTTAGTATTTATTAATAAAAATATAAATTTCAAAAAAAGCAGAACACTAATGCCTATGGTTTATATGAAATGAAAACAGTGTTTATTAAGTAATTTATAAAGTTTGTTCCATGCCTCCACTGTGCAATGATGGTGCCAGCATACTGTTCAACAGAAATTTCATAATCAGTTACTAGCATGACACTAAAATTATTTTTTTAGCTGCTCTTTATGTCAAGAAGTAGAAGACATCATAACTTACAAAAATAATGAGAAGTAACAAGGCCAATACTCCTGTTCCTTTTTGAGAAGATAAGCTGGAAATTGTAAGTCTAGAACATTATGTTTGAACTGCATTCACTACTGCAAAAGGAAGAGCATAAATACTTTTATTTCTTTTGTTTTAGCTGCTACTGTGGAAGTCAGAGCTCTTGCTTATGAAGACATGTCTTTCCTTAGCAGAAATTTATGAAAGAAATTCAATGTATACTTTCATGACAAATACTTCTTATGCTAGTCCAGCAACGATAGTCGAAAAGTCATTTTGATATTAGAATGTCTGCAAAATCGGCTGGATTACCTGATATCCAAGAAGAGGCTTTTATAACATTAAAACGGAGAACTAAAAACTGTAATATGGTAAAATATTGCAAGTTAATTAGCAAACAATGGCCACGTCATCTTTGCAAACTAAGCCACGCGTAGTACTCGGCCAAAACATTCACACTAACTCTACTTTTTGGACATATTATATTATAATTATAACTTCCATGCGTTTACTACTCAGTTGATAGATGCATGCACAATTGCCACTTTACGTAGGATTAAAGGACATTTGGACATCGTAGATAAATGGTTCTCCATTTTTAATCTCAACAAGATTTTTTGGAGGAGAAAAGACAGCATGCTTGGAAAGTCAGAGGTTCAGTAACTGTAGAAGTAAAGTTTATTTTTACTCATCTGTTTAGTGATAAAGATGAATTTGACTGATTACTTATCTAAATAGAACAAGTATTTATTTTAATACCTTCATATCTTGAAGTTGATTGTCAACTGCTCTAAGATAAGAAAGATTTTCCAAAATTGCCAGTTCTTCTAATTCATCAATGTTGTTATTGCTGATATTCAACACAGACAAAGATTTCTGGAGGAAGAAAAGCAGAAAAAGAAATTTTTTTTCATGACATCCATGAGTCAAGTTTTAAATTCTTACAGAAAATTCTCTTAAAGGAAGAACATGCATATGAAGCAGAAATATGCAAATACAACTACCACATACCTCACACATTGTTTTATGTTGGCCTTGCATCTTGTCGTAAAATGCTGTTTATTTGGGGTTTTTTTGTCAAGAAAGTCAAACCAAAGTAAGATAATTTCTCAATTATTTCAGAAATTCTTTGTAAACACAGAACTTTTGTTTTTCTCTAAACACGTTCAAATGCTTGACAGAGTTCTGCAAGTGCTACTAATTCTACGTTTGAAGTACAAAACAAACACAGAAATTGACTGCCTTTTCCAAGGTTACATCTGAACTGCACAGAGCTGAAATCCACATCTGATACCCACATAGTCTCGTTTAACAGCTGGACTATACTTTTTTTCTTTCAGGCTTGATCCTACAAACCTCTCGGTATACATACCTCTATTCCTTGCCCCTTTGTTGGAACACTAGTGAGTCACATAATGCACTTTGCCTTTTGTAACAGACAAATAGTCAGAGAGATCTTTACATTCTAAATAAAAAGTAAATGCATTTCAGGTGTTTATCTCAGGGAATACTTCATGTAGTTTCACACAGAAGGAAAAATAAGCTTGTATCTCCAGAAGATGAAACAGGGCACCTAATCCAGTGGGTTGAGATATGGGATTTACCGTTAGTTAGAAAATGTCTATTTCAGCAGTGTATACAGGAAATGTAACCCCCTTCTAAAATCTGACCAAGAGCTACACTGTAGGCAGAAATTACCAGTATCATCCTGATACACACAGTGCATAAACTTAATCTCCTCAGTCAAAAGATTCACGATATTGTCATCGTCGTCGAACATTTGTTTGTGGTACACAGAGAGCTATATGGTCCCATGTTTTTGGCTCTTTTATCTCTGACAGCATTAAGAGCCAGAAACAGATAGAAGAAGATGAAGTAAGAAGTGATATCTTAAAGAGAGACCAAACACTTAGCACTCGACGGATAAAAATAGAATGTTTTTAGATGTAGCTTCCACAAAGATGTTACATGGTCAAGAATGCAAACTGTTTCTTAAAAAATGAAACAAAAAAAACACCACACCAAAAGACCTTAAATAAAAGCCATGAAGAACAAAATGCTAGTGACTCTAGGCCAGGATACTGAGAAACACTGAAGTATACGAGTTATCCCAGGAAGATTATAGCTATATAACCTCCCTCTACTTTCATCATTTCTCCAATATAGAAGGAACAAAGTAAAAGTGCTCCCACAGGAATGGCTCATTTCTGTTAAAGGAAAATGGCCATACATGTCTAGGATTACTTAATTTCAAAACAGCAAGAATCAGAGCTAGGTCAAACGTTTATGATATACACAAGAACAATTTCAGTGAGTTCTTTATCTTCACAAAAAAAGCTCATCAAGCCCTGACTACACTTTAGGAGACACAGCAAGATGATTTTTTTTTAGTACAGAACTACATCTATTAGTAAATCAACTCTATTTTTTCAACTACTTCAACAATACATTGATGTTTACTGAGCAATTAGCGTTGAAAGAAAACTTCAAAAGTTGACTTTCCTGAAATCTTGACATATCACAACATAGAAAAATTGCAGGACTAAAACTGAATGTTTTTGATTGTGTTGCCCCTAATATCCAGAAAAAAAGCTGTTTGCACCTTTTGCCATTGCCTTCTCTAGAGAAATACAGGAGGCAGTAAATAAACTACTATCAACAAAATAATTCACTACAAACTAAGTAAACTAAGATAACTGTGATGAATTCCTACCCCTTCCCATTCTGTTGGTATAGGCTATCCACACATTTCCTTACTTCCCCTCTAACTTTATTTGTATTTCCATGCTTCATAGAAAAATAAATGAAGTAGAATCTGCTGGACTCCTTGCTTATGGGAGAAATGGGATGGGAGTCCTTGGTAGAATTTGAAAGAAAGACACCAGCTGGGAGAAAAGGAAAACACAGAGTGATCAAGTCCTAATTACTTCTCTTAAAAATACTGGGCTCATGGAAATTCTCAAAATGCACTTACTGCCAGGGACCTAAGAGACCTTGGATCAAACAGAAGCTTTTCACCAAGCGGGAGATGTTGACTTTCAATATGTAGCTCCCTTATTTCTTCTAATTTATCCAAACCCTCTACTACAGTGATGCAGTTTCCCCCCAAATACCTGCAGAATAGAACACAAAATAGATTTAATATCCTCTGAAAGCAAAAGCTAACACAAGGCCTCAATATATTAAAAAAAATGTTTTAAATATTATTGAATAATACTTGGAAATTATAATAGAAAAAGTAAATAACCTAGCATGCAAGTAGAACATACAGCTAACAGATCCAAGGTTTTTTTAGGGGTTTTATATATTGCTACTATTAGTATCAATTGGCTGAAAAAGGAAAATAATTTAAATGCAAATAAATATGTTATGATGATATGCCATCACTTTATTTATATCATAGAACACTTTGTTAAAAAATCATAAGCAATTACTTTGATTTGAAAAGCAACATTTAAGAGCTGAAAGGACCTTACTGGCTACATAATTTTTTATTTTCTTAGTGCAATAATTGTTCTTTTACTAGTAAAATACATACATGATTTTCAACTTACAGTTTTTCAAGGTTTTTCAGCGATGAGAGGTTTTCTATACGTGTAATACAATTGTTCTGAAGGTAAAGGTGTGTTATATTTGAAGCAAAGTCCAAGTTTTGGATTCGACTGATTTGGTTATCATATAAATATAGAACTCTAAGATTTTTACACAAAGAGAGGTCACCCTGAAATAAACAATAACAAATTAACGCTACATAGATTTCATTCACCGCCTGCTTCTGGAAGCTGCTGATTGTTTTTATATTTAAGTTCTGCTGCATGATTTATACGTTTTCACCTTTAACAAACACTTTTAACAACTATTTTTCCTAGAAAAACTGAGTGTCAGTAATCATCTCCTGCATAGATTTAAGACTGAAATCACTGCTGTTCTGCCATACAGAAGCTGAGGACTACAGCCATCAGCAGCAGGTACATCACATCCTCTGTGTGTGACTTCATTCCCTTCCTTGCCTTCATCAGGTGGATTTCAGAAAAGCACAATTGTTAGTGTAGTTGTCTCCATCAAACCTCAGTGATGTAATGGAAACCAGTTCTTGGCAAAGGAATATTGATTTATACAAAAACTCACTCTTCAATGTATTTTAATACACTTCTGAGTTTAAGATTCCACTCAAATGTCAAGTTTCTTTGAATGTATTCTTCTTAAATAACTAAAACATCACATGTTCTTATGAGGGTTTCTGTTAAACTTCTCTAAGGCATCTTATGAACCAGTCCTAATCAAATGGACTGATCAAATTAGTAACTTGCTATGGCTGTGCACATTCCTAGGAGTGGGATGAATAAACCTATTTTCTTGCATGGATCTGTTCACATAGAACAAACCATTTAATCTTCTTGACTGAAATCACACTTTTAAAGCAGAAATCCACCATACACAACAATTCAGTTGTTCAGGGTTCAGCAATTTCAAAATGTACTCAGTATCTTGAGGGGATTTGCATTAACTCAGGACTTACTGAAACCTGTATAAATTTTCTATTATTAAACTCAAAGGAAGGAGGACTGGCTTAAGTTTGCAGGTTTAGTCATGCAAAGGTCATGGATTATTTTTTAAATTAATAAGCCCCAGGGAGCAATTTAAAAAAAAAAAAAAAGTAGATTTTAACCTGACTAATTTGAAAAAGCCACTACACCAGTCCAAATGTGTTAACCTCACTTGGCTTGTATCCTGTTCCTGAACTCCCCTTTCCTTTCTCAGACTTCCTCTGAAATCTAAGGAATAAATCACTGATAGATTGAAAAGATTGTGCTGTGAGTTAACAACTCTTTGTAAAATTCCCAAGACGAGAAAAAATATGGCATTAACAAGAATAAAATAAGTGTTGCACTTAATAGTATGTAATATCATTATTACTTCCTTTAAAAAAAAAAAAAAAAACTGATCTGCAAAATTACTAGTTCCTTACCTGATCTTCTATCCACAGTTTGTATTTTTATAAAGGTAATAATCAATAAATACAAGTCTTTAAATAAAAAAAACAAACTGTTGAAAATATGAACTTTAGTTTTTAACCTCAGACCTAAAGTCTCTGAGAACACTATAGCTAGATTTCAGTAGAGTTAGATCACTGCTGTGAAAGCCCTACACCAACTGGTTCAATGGCAACAGCCTGGCTATATTCTATAGGAAAAGTGTCAGGTCTAAATAATTAATTTGAAATATTGTCTTTCTTAAGTGGGTAAAGAGGTAAGCAAGTGGAGTTATCATTTCCATTTTGGTGACTTCCTGAAAGCTCCTTTCACAATGTAGCAATTGTATGAAATAATCAAAACAGTAAATTGTTTCGGTTTTTATTTTTAGAGCTGCAGATTTCTATAATAGTTCTGTGAAATACTGCAAAAAATACTTTAATACTTCAGTTCATCTCTCTTGTGTAATTGCTCACATGGATTTTCTATTTTAATTAATTAATGGCAAAAATAGTTAGTGTTCTGATAATATCTTTCTTGTCTGCTACACAGATGATGTGTATTTCCACAGTTTCAGGTAAGTGAAATACTTCAACAAGATTTTTGCCACATAAAGGAAAAAGAGTCAGGCTGATAAGAAGAAACCTGCAGACTGCTGGAGTTACAGTCGCCCGCTTTGATGTTTTATATGAAAAACTACAGCTGAAAGGTTATTTTCACATTTCAAATGCACACACATTTAAAATCCATTTAAACACTTTTACATCCAAGCCGTGTTCCACACAATAACAGCAGTGAATGCTGAAGCATGTTTCCAAACAGATGTATTATTAAGGCTAAACTGCTAGTCAATATAAATGTTCAAATGTAGTGTAGCTGTTACAAAATAGAAACTTGGCTTTGCTTGTTTGTCTCCCCAGCTATAAACAACTGAACACTAACTGCAAAACATTTGAGTAGCCAGGTTAAAAGGAATAAAGAAAAATAAATCTTACAATTGCATCTATATTTTTATCTGATAAATTCAGGTGAGTTACTTTTCGTAGATACCGTCCAAAGTCCTCTTCATTGCGATTCTTGTGACTGACGCTTTTAGCAATGAGGTCCATTGTTAGTTGAACCATAGTTCTGTAATAGGCCAAACTGCTCTACCGCTTCTTTTAATAGTGTGTTCCACGTGCTCTTGCAAGTAGTTTTATAAAATGCCTTAAAAACAAAAAGGAAAATGTTATACTACTTGTACCCCAGATCTTCAACAAAGCTTACAGGTATACTTCAAATCTGATGTTTCCCCACCAATTCCCTTGTTGCTTACAGTGACACAATTATGTAGTCTTTGCTGCTTATAAAAAACTACCCCTTTCTTGCTGTCATTTTTTCAAACTTTTAGTGTATTAAATAACATTTGAAATACATTGTTATATTTTATTTTTTGTTTCAGTGTGCTTAAGGTTGTACCGTCATCTTCACCTTTTTCATATAGAAATATGAGCACAATGGTCCACAGCTGAAGTAATTCTCACACAAATAACTAATTAATGGCAGCTCATAACCTAATTATTAGTTAGAAAATACATTAGTCGCTATAGCAGGTTTTACAGGCTGTGAGAAGTGGTATAAAGCTACAGTACTGTTTATGGATTTGCACGGCCCTTTTGTCATGCACACAACTGCCTGTGCATTTGTTATGGCTCTGTAGAGGCTCTCACAACAAAACCAATTTGTTTTTTTAAATTCTGGCCATTGTTGCAAGTGAGCTTATAAATCAGGGAACGGCGGGGAAGGAAGAAGGCGAGACACATATTTCGAACTGGATGTGTAAACGGCCTGGGGATAAAAATACCCTAACAAATATAACTTAACAACTCAGAATAAAAAGGTTGCTTTTTTAGCCTGTACGTAATACAATGTACATTACATATTTTAGCCAATACATAATACCCCCACATCAGCGTATCAAAACAACTGAGGAGACAGCAAAAAGCATCTCAATACTAAAACTCATGCAGCCACATAAACCAAGGCACAGAGAATCCTCCTTGCCAGTCGTACATTTATGAGAAACTGAGGAAAAGCAAAGGTTGAAACTGTGAAGACAGAAGAAATTTCCTTATTTACTAAGCAAGGCTGAAGCTCAGTAGTTCCCCCTTATCCTTGTGGGTTTTGGTTTTTTTTCTTTTTTTTAAAAGGTGGGGGAAGAAGAAAAGCTGAAAGGCTCTTTTTTTTTTTTTTTTTTTTTTTTTTATAAGAAAAAAGGTGGGGGAAGAAGAAAAACTAAAAGGCGTTTTTTTTTTTTTTTTTTTTTTTTTACTGAGAAGCGTGCTTCTTTCTTGCTTTTTTTACACAAAATACCTTTCAGAGCCTTTCCTTAGACCTTCTTCCAAAACAAGCAGTAGCAGCAAGGGAAAGGCGGGCTGCCAGGGCGGGGGCTTTCCGTGAGGCAGGTCTCTCTCGCTCCCCCAGCTCCTAGAGCCCTGTGATTTGGCACTGTCGCCCCCCTCTCCCCCCGCCTCGGCCCCCAGCAGAAGGCTTGACGACGACAAGGACCAGCCGCCACCCAGCGCAACCCGCGGGAAGGCTGCTCTGATGTCCCTGCCCGTAAGGCAAGAGGGACAGGTAGCGGGCAGGAAGGAAGAGGCAGGATCCGCTCCCAACCACCCTCTCCCCAGGCGGCCCAGGGAAGAGCCCCCCACCCC